GGCTGTCTGCATGCGTTCCCCCGTCTGGCCGCCCCCCAATCGTGCCCCCGCCGTGCCGCCAGAGGCGCCTGCTGGGCACGTTGAAGGTTCCAAGTGTACGCCAGACGGTTGTAACGCATGGTTTCTCACCAAATTGCAATGGCTCATGCATCTTCGCGCGGGGCATGGCTTCGAGATCTTGTTGGCCGAAGCTGCGCGTGGGGCTTCGTGCTTCGCGTGCGGCAGCAGATTTCTGAGCCGCAGCTCCGATTGCAAACCGCGCCCTGGATTCGTTCGCTTCGGGCTCTTGCCAGTTTCAGCTAAGTGCCACCCTAGAGCACGATATTCCCGAGGCACCCTTCGACGTCGCCCATGCGAGGCTTAAACCTTGACGGGGGCTGAACTCCACATCCGCACGCGCTCGCACTTTGACTGTCTCCCCCTTGCGCCGCGCGATGGAGGTGCCAGCCCGGCCCGTCCGGGAGCGCAGAGGCGCAGAGGGCGGCGGTGGGCAGAGGGCCAATCGAGCCAAGCTTCTGACGGCGTTGGGCCAGGATGCGAAGGGCAAACAGAAGGGGGGCAAGGGCGGGGCGCTGGCTTCTCTGTTGGTGGTGCCCACCAAACTCTCTCTCGCCAACGCGCGCGAGCTGGCCGAGATGACTGGCGCCTGCTTCGCGCGCTACATGGCGGGCGCCGCCGCGGCGCTCGCAGCAGGTGATCGGGGCGCCAACGGCGCTGGAGGTGCTCGCCGCTCACTGCCGCCATTCCAGGATCAAGGCGCGTTGGTTCGACGAGAAGAAGCAGCAGCATGCCCACGAGTGGGAAGGTTCCAGCACGACGCTGATGGAGGCGATCCAGGCCACCATCTTGGCGGCCGCCACCAGGGATAAGGACCAGAACGTCTACTACCTCCCAGGTTCCCCACCGAGGGGCGAGTTCGAGAGGGAAGCGGCCACGCTTCTGCTGGAGCTGGGCCTCAAGGACAAATCCAGGGAGGAAGGCGATGAGCAGCAGGAGGGCGACATCTGAGCAGGACTGCGAGGTCCTCGATTCGGGCGCGTCGCACGGCGATTAATGGCTCCCAGAGAGCCGCCAAATTGTTCCTCCGGGGCCGCCTCCAGGAATAACCATTCCTCGCCATCCAGGCTCGGGCCCCCGACCCGGTCCTCGGGTACTCCTTGGGGGCCCTGGAGGTAGGAGTTGTTCTGCAAGCCCCTTAATTGGCGCTGCGTTGGGGTGGGGTTTTGTCTACGCTCGCCTCTGGCTTTGTTCAGCGAGGGAGTGCATAGACAAGCCCCCGAGATGCCCCCCAATGTGGGTCTCGTTTTTGCCAGTGGTATCCCCCTGCAGGGCCTCAGATACTGTCGGCCCCCTTGAGTGGTTCTCGAACGCCTGATCAGTTTTTTGGTTTTCCTCGGGGCCCTCAGGGTGCGCTCTTCCAAGGCCCTGGCGCTTCATCGGAACATCGGTATTGTTTTGCTCTGCTTCTTCTTCTTCTCCTCCTCCTCCTTTTCTCCTCCTCCTCTTTTTCTTCCTCTGCCTCCTCCTCGTACTCTTATCCTTATTTCTTATTCGAATATACTCCTACTCCCCCCTCTCCCCGGCCGATAGTCGCCCCATTCGGGACGTCCCATCGTAACCTTCAAAACATAATACAACATCAACATGTTTCGTCAGTTTGCCTCTCAACATGGACGTCCTGTCGTCCACGTCGGTAATCCCTGGGAAAAAAAGGAAACCAAGTGCACACGCGCACGTTCATGCCCAAATCCTACCAACACACACTGTGCTTGCAAGCGTTTCATCATAATTACCCCAGTGCGACCCGACCTAGAAGTTGGAGCCAGGAAAGCAGCATTATTTGCTATGCTATGCTATGATATGCCACGTTATGCTGCGCTATGCTATGCTATGCCATGCTATGCTGCGCTATGCTATGCTATGCTACGCGGTGCTGTGCTGTGCTGTGCTGCGCTATGCTATGATATGCTATGCTATGATGCGCTATGCTATACTATGCCGGGCGTTGCTATGATATGTTGTGTTGTGCTGTGCTGTGCTACGCTCTGCTGTGCTGTGCTCTGCTATGCTAAAGGTCGGCGAAGCTAAGATGAAGATAAGCTGAGCTAAGATAAACCTGATCTAAGATGAAGCTAAGCTAAGCTAAGCTAAGATGAAATAAGCTAAGCTAAGGTGAGATACGCAACGCTAAACTAAGGGAGCGTCACTGGGGGAATCGCGGGGCGGATCCTGGGGGAACCGCCCGGGGCGCTTCACACTGCCCAGCCCCTTTAAGCTAACACAGTAAGAGCCCTTCTAGGCAGAGCCTAGGTAGGGAATTACGTCACCGAGGAACCCCACATACCTATTTGATTTCCCATGTGTACCATCGGTGCTTCTGCTGCTGCTCCTCCTTCTCCTCCTCGGTGTCCTCCTCCTGCTGCTTCTTTTGCTGCTGCTGCTTCTGCTGCTGCTGCGTCTGCTGCTGCTGCTGCTGCTGCTGCTGCTGCTGCTGCTGCCGCTCCTCCTCCTCCTCCTCCTCCTCCTCCTCCTCCTCCTCCTCCTCCTCCTCCTCCTCTACCTCCTCCTCCTACCTCCTAGCGCACCCCCTGTGGCGTCGAGGACATGCCACGCCTGCCACGCCCTGGGAGCCTGCAACGCATACGGCCCCCACCCCCAGCGCACCCCCTGCGGCGTCGAGGAAATGCCACGCCTGCCACGCCCTGGGAGCCTGCAGCGCATAGGGCCCCCACCCCCAGCGCACCCCCTCTGGTTTCGAGGACATGCCACGCCTGCCACGCTTTGCGAGCCCGAAACGCATTGGGCCCCCATCCCCAGCGCACTTCCTCTGGTGTCGAGGAAGTGCCACGCCTGCCACGCTTTGCGAGCCCGAAACGCATATGACCCCACCCCCAGCGCACCCCCTCTGGTGTCGAGGAAGTGCAACGCCTGTCACGCTTTGCGAGCCCGAAACGCATAGGGCCCCCACCCCCAGCGCACCCCATCTGGTGTCGAGGAAGTGCCACGCCTGCCACGCATTGCGAGCCCGAAACGGATAGGGCCCCCACCCCAGCGCACCCCCTCTGGTGTCGAGGAAGTGCCACGCTTGCTATGCCTGGACGACCGTCGTGCATAGCGGCCATATCGGGACGTGTCTCATGTGGGTGTCCATTATGTGGAGCACACGTGGATGTGTGATGCAGTGAACACGCCAGGCGCGCACTAGCGTTGTATGGTGTGTGTGTGTGTGTTGTGTGCGAATGTGTGCATGCGTGCGGCTGTATGCAGACGCGTGTGTCATGTACTTGCCGTGCATGTGTTGAGCGCGGGTGAGGAGAGGAAGAAGAGGGAGGAGGGGAGGTGAGGAGACGCGGGTGCGCCGCGGCAGGGAAAAACACCAGAACCCCACGAAACATGTGGGGAAAACATAAAACGCCCAATTGTTGTCATCACAAGTCTTCAGAATTCCTGCCCGCGCGCACTTGCTGGCATCATAGGACAACCACACGAGTTCACGATTTGGTGAAAAAACAGCGATCTCATCACGCCGCGTGGTGCACTCGCGATGCTTTGTCATGCACCCAGGGCGCGAATCTTGTGCAAACAATACCACGCGAGCGACATAGGCGCGCGTCGCCGCGAGCGCATGTCCAAATCCTTTCAGAGTCGTCGCCATCATCGGCACCGTAGCTGGTCTTGCTGTCGTTGTCGCTATCATCGCGGGCCACCGCCCTCCTCACCATGTCGCCACCGTGGTCGACGTCACCATGCCATCGCGCTGGCGCGGCCTTTGAGACGCGCTGGGCCAGTTCCCATCGGCCACAGCAATCGTGGTCGCAAGAATTCGGCCATACCAGTCAGCCGATTTGCGCGCGCGATGCGCTTTGCCAGCCAAGTTTCATGGGGCTTCCTGGGGGTTCCTGGACCTCCTGGGGCTTCCTCGGGGGGCTCCTGGCGTCTCCTGGGCCTTCCTGGGGCCTCCTGGGGGGGGATTCGTTGGGGCCGTCAGGGGCCTCCTGGGGCCTCCTGTGGTTCCTTGGGGTGTCCTGAAACATCCTGGGGCTTCCTGGGGCCCTCTTGAAGTTTCCTGGGTCCTCTGGGGGCATCGTCGACTCGTGCTGAAATGCTCGGGCCGCCTTTGAGACGAGCTGGGGAGCTCCAATCGGTAACCGCTGTCGCGGCCGCATGATCTGTGCCAAACCAGCTCGCCGATGTGATCTCGGCTCCCCGTTGTGCCCGCACTGTTTCTTATGTCGTGGGAGGGCGGGTGGGAATGGGCATGCCATGCATGTCTCGCTCGAGCTGACTAACTTGATTCCTCCTCCTCCTCTTACTCCTACTCCTACTCCCACTTATACTCCTCCTCCTCCCCCCGCCTCCTCTTCCTCCTCATCCTCTTCTTCTTCCTCCTCTTCCTCCTCCTCCTCCTCCTCCTCCTCCTCCTCATCATCATCATCATCCTCATCCTCATCCTCATCCTCGTCCTCGTCCTATTCCTCCTCCTCCTCCTCCTTCTCCTCCTCCTCCTCTTCTTCCTCCTCCTCCTCATTCTCGTCCTCCTCCCCCTTGTTTGTCCTCCTCAGCTTTCCTCTGGTCCTGCTGCTCCTCCCGCTCATCGTGTTCCTGCTCCTGCTGTTCCTCCTCCACCTCGTCCTCCTCTTCCACCTCCTCTTGCTCCTCCTCTTCCTCCTCCTCCTTTTCCTCCTTCTCCTCCTCTTCCTCCTCCTCTTTTTTTTCCTTGCTTCCTTACTTCCTTCCTTCAGCTTGCCCTCCTCCCCCTCGTCCTTCCTCCTCGCCCCCCTCGACTTCGAGCACGCGTTCCTTCGCCTTCCGCCTCCCCTTCGCGAGCACACCCACCAGCTTGTCGAAGCGCGCCTTGACATCTCCGTCGAGCTCCTGGTCCTTGCTGACACTGCGGATCCAGAGCGCGGGCTTGTCCGCGTTCCTGTCCTCTGTCCCCTGAGGTCCCCCCCGCCCGTCACCCAGACGCTAACCCCCCCCGCGCCCGCGCTGCCGTCTAG